CCTTCCCGCTCTGCTCTAGATCTTCAGTCCAGCAGGTGGAATGAGGATGGTAGGGATGACCCGGGCCACCTACTTGCCACCCTCTTCAGCCTCCTTCCCTGGGCCTTTCCCAGCTTCCTGGTCTCTGAGCCTTGGCTTCCTGGGGCTCAGACCCTGCCCCTCTTCTTTACACCACTGCCTTCGTCCATTCATCAAGACTCCTGGCTTTAGATCTCATCCACCTGCTGATAACTGTGCACTCCTGTCCGGGGCCAGACCCGTCCCCAGAGTCCCAGACTCCAGGGCATCTTCCCAGAGAGTCCCACAGGCCTCTAGGACTTAAGGCGGCCGACACTGAGCTTCCCAGTCTCCCCAAACCCAGCCTTGGGCTCAAACCCTGACTCCTTCTTCCCTGGTAAATACATACAGCCTTTCTGGAAATCCTATCTGCAGGTCCTTGGGAATAGTTTCCAGCTCTGACCACTTTCCTCCTCCTTCACTGCTTCTACCTTGGTTCAGGACACCTTCTCTTGTCTAAATTATCACTAGCAGGCTCCTAACTGTTCTGCCTGCCTCTGTCCTTGCCCTGTTTTAGTCTCCTGTGAGCGTAGCAACCAGAGGATCCTGTAGAACGTGAGATGGTGTTCACTGCTCTGCTCAGACCCTCCGATGGCTTTCTGCAATACCAAAGCCCTTTCCATGACCCCTAGGGGCCCCTGGGCCTCTCTGCATGGGCTTTTTCTTGGCTACCCCTTGCTCACTCTATTCTTGTCTTTCTGGCTTCAGACCCCTTCCTCAAACATTCTGGGAATGCTCCTGTCTCAGGACCGTTGCACTTGCTTTTCCCTTTGCCTGGAACATTCTTCCCTTGGCTTTTCACATGGCTCCCTCTCACCTCCTTCAGATCTTTGCTCAAACTTCACAAGAAGGATTTTATTAGCCCCCACCCCTACCCCAGAATTTCCTAACCCCCTTTCTTGCTGGATATTTCTCCATATCACTCCTCATGGTTTAACAGACTATATAATTAACTTGCTCATTTCATTTGTCATCTATTCCAAGTGCCATGAGGGCCAGGTCTTTATTTTGTCTGCAGCCAAAAAGGGCCCACGGCTGCCGGGTGGCTCAGATCTTTTCTGGCATCTGGAGTACCAGCCCCAGAGAGCTGAGCAGAAGACACTCAGAGGGTTTTTTGGGAACTATGGCTCTGCTAGGCAAGGCCACAATCCCACACTTCCACATGGTCAGGCCTCTGACCATTCTAGAAGGGGGCTGGCCCTGTGTCAGACTCTGAACAGATCCTGCCCTTTGGTTGAGCAGGGTCCGGTAGACTGTGTCCCTGACCTCCGTAGGAGCAGGAGCTCCAGCCGTCTTTCTGGGGTCCACCCTGCGTGCCCCACTGGCCCTCTGAGTCTGAAGCAGGCTGGGTGTGAACGGTCAAAGCCAGAGGGTCTCTCTTTGTTGAGCCCCTTTCCACCTTCTTAGGTCATCTGCCCCTACCCTATCCCTCCTCATGGTCCTCTGCTGTCCTTTGGAAACCCAGTAGGGTCCTGTCCCGGGGCCCACCCCACGTGGCATGGCCACCCCACTCCTCTCAGCCCTGTCTTCCAAACAACCCCTCACTTTTCACCATCCCCACAGCTAAAAGTCTGGTCCAACAGCCATAGCTTCTCATCAGGATGTCCAGGATGTTTGCAAGAGCCCCCCCGCCGCTGGCCTCCTTGGCTCCCCAGCCAGCAGCCAGAATTAACTTTCCAAATCAGCGTCCCCAGCTCATGGTTCCCATCACACTTAGAATGAGATCCGATTTTTCCCGACATGACTGGGCTCTTCTTCTACCTGTCTGACCTCATGCTGTGGGATGCCCTCCATTCTTGCACTGTGCTGAGCGGGGCCAGCCGCCCTCCCGACCCCCCCACACCCGGCCCCCGCCCTGCCTTCCTAAGGCCTTTGCTCTTGCCCGTCCCCCCCCAGGGGTGTGCTTCCCCCCCCCCCCAATCCTCTTAGCTCCTTCCTTTTCTTCATTTAAAGAAGCTGTCCTACATCTAAGGAACACCCCCCCACCCCGCCCTGCTGCCCTCCACCCGCCCCCTCCCATCTCTGAAACTGTCTCGGGGGTTGGTTGCTCGCGCCTCTGCCCACTGCTTGCTTCCTCCCCCTGGAACATCAGGCTCACAGAGGGGCCAACTTTGTTTTGTTTCATCCTGGGATCCCCTGTACCGAGACAACAGTGCCCTGGACGGAGTGAGCGCTTAGTGAATGTCTCATTAGTAAATGAGCCAAGGCTGCTAGAGGCCAAGTCTCATGCCTTCTGGAATGATCTCTGGCTTGGGTTAGGAGCCAGGCTCCCTCAGCACCACATACTTCCCTCTAATCCTGTCTGTCATGGCCTACATGCTACCTTCCTGGGCCTGTTTCTAGGCAGTGAGCCCCTCTCCTGCCCTCCCACGTGGCAGGCTGGCAATGAGGATGGGTGTAACAGACCCGAAGTGGCCACGGGCTCAGGCCCCGCCCACCGACGGCAGCCCCGCCCACCTCTAGGCACAGCACCGCCCACCTCCCTATGGGAGAAGTGCTCCCACCTCTGGGAGAAATTCCATCCACCTCCCTGGGCCTTAGCTCCTCCCACTTCAGTGGGGCTGGGGTTCCTTCAAGAAGAATGATCCCTGCCTTCTAGCTTCTCTAGGCAACCAGATTAGAGCTTAGTAAAAATGAGAGAATCTAATTAGGATTAGAATCTGCTAGAGAATGATAGGAACTCATATCTTGCAACTTTCAAAAATGACGTTTGTTGCTTGGCCTGAGATTGGCATATTATAGCTCAAACCATGTCAAATGCAGCCTGCTGTCTGTTTTGGTAAATAAAGTTAGGTTTCCTTGGAGCATCTGTCTGTACTCAAGGATAGCCTTGAGTAGTTGGGACAGAGGCTTGTACGTCCCACAAAGCCTAATATATTTACTGTCTGGTCCTTTATAGAAAAACTTTGCCAACTCTTCTTACAAATACTCAAAAAGTACTGTTGGATTAAGTAGGCTTAAATCAGAGCCTTGGAATCCTGCCTTGTTAACACCACCAGTTCCAGTCTTTTGTCCAGGGATGTCAAGTGAACCAAACACTCTGAGCTCTTCTCTCTTTAATAATAAAGAGATGGGGGCGCCTGGGTGGCTCAGTGGGTTAAGGCCTCTGCCTTCGGCTCGGGTCGTGATCCCAGGGTCCTGGGATCGAGCCCCGCATCGGGCTCTCTGCTCAGCAGGGAGCCTGCTTCCTCCTCTCTCTCTGCCTGCTTCTCTGCCTACTTGTGATCTCTGTCTGTCAAATAAATAAATGAAATCTTTAAAAAAAAAAAAAATAATAATAATAAAGAGATGGAGGTATAGAATAGGTAGAAATAGTCACTGAGGAATCCTGTATATGTCCGTTAGTTAACAGACAACATTTATGGAGCACCTGTTCTATTCTAGAAGCTGTTCGAGGCAGCCACAAAAGAGACAAAGTTCCTACCCCCAGCCCTTTGTGTCTAGCTGATTCAGTATTACATCCTCACTGTGGTCAACCATGAGGGCTTCCGGCGTGAGGCTTAGCTCTGGTCCCCCACTTGAACCTGCACCAGCTGGCTACGTCTGTGCCATGGCCTGTCTCCCAAGGCGAGCTGTTTCCCTGCCTGGGGTCCTGGACGGCGCGCCATTCTTTCCCCTCGATGTCCCCAGCCCTAAGCACGGGCTCTGGCCCAGAGTCAGTCTCAGGCTGCCTTTATGTCACCGCCCCCCGCCCCCCACCCCTGGCTCCTTCAAGAACCCCAACACGGTAAGGGAGAAGGATGATCAAACGGTCTTTTAGGAATTCCATTAAGAGCAGTGTCTCTGGGGAACTCATAAAAGGAAATGATGAGCATTGTAAGATATTTTTCTCCCTTTAAAAAGAAATCTATAAATTACATCGTGTTCCCTTCCTTTCTCCTCCTCGCTGCCCGGCTGACTTCATGTTCCGGGCGCTTTTCAATGAAACCAGGTTGATTCCAGCTGACCCGGGAGTTGGCTTTGATGTGAGGAGTAGTTATTGAAAGAGACAGGGTGATCCATGTAATGAAATGCCTCCTACACTTTCCATAAAAGTGATGGGAGAGTGATGCTAGCCATTCTGCTGTGGGGGATGGGAGGGAGGCAGTAGTGGGCTCTGAGCCGCTGGGAAGGGCACTGGGGGCCGAAGGTGGGCACGCTCCTGGGAAGAGAGCAAACCTCTTCTAGAAGAGCCTCCTGAGAGCCCGGAGCTGAGCTTTCAACCACTTCTGCTCAGGTGGCTTTGCTGTCCCAGGCGTCAAGGACCCTCAGCCCCTCTCCTGGAAATCCCTTTCTCAGGGAGCATTTTACCGTGTTAGTTTTTGCTGATTCTTGAGAAATTCTCTTTGAGACTCAATATGCCTCAGGTAGATTTAAGGTCACAGCTATTACTTCAGGATTTTGACTTGGTTGTTGGGGGAAAAAATAAATCTCACTTATTGTCTCGGGAGAAGTTCCAATCAGACACTGCCTGACGAGTTTCTTCCTTCAGTTATTCAAGAAATATTTATTGAGCGCTCATTATGTGTGGGGCACTGCGCTAGGAATAGGAACAAGTGGACAAGATAAGGGGCGGGGGTGACGCATGGCCTCATAGAATCAGCAGGACTGCCAGGGAGATGTTTCCACAAATAGACAAGGACCCCATGCCATGACAAAGGTGCTGTGCTCTGGGAACCCATTCAGGGGCACTGAGGACTTCCTGTAGGAGGTGGTGTTTCAGCCTGTGACCTGGAGGATGGGTAGTTGTTTATCAGACAAAGGGGGTGGGACTAGTGTTGTAGGCAGAGGAAACAGCATGCATGAAGTTTTGGTCTCTGGACAGGAGGAAAGGAGGGAGGCTCAGCTTTTTCCTGCCCTCTGCTAAGACAGGGATCTCTAGATAATCCTGGCCCTCGGTGCTCCCGGAGGTTGGGATGGACAGGACCCGCCCCCAGAAGGGAGAAAAAATTGCATGCACTCACGAAGGAAATATTCTGCTGTGTCAGCTTCGTAATCTGCATCCTCTGGGAAGTGATCGATTTGCTTGCAGAGACCTTTGAAGTTCCCTGGAAAACAAGAGGAGAGAGGACACTTGAAACATCAGAGTTTCCAGGGGCTCAGCGCCCACTGGCCTCGTGCTGACTTCTCGCTCTTCTGAAGCTGGCTCAGCCCTCTCCCAGGCCCCTGAAGGAAGGTATCGCTTTGTCTGTTTGGACATCTGCCTGGTGAATCAAAACACAGACACCCGCGGTGCCGTGGAGAGGATCTAAGGCCTAAGACTTCAAAACCCAGCCTTCCATCGCTGCACTGAGGCTTCTGAAGATTAGCGGAAGCTTGACGGGCAGCAGAGGTTTGGCTCGGGGCTGGGGACTGCCGCCGAGGAGGCTGATGAACGGGTCAGTCCACCCACCTCTGTGCCCCTGCTCGGCTGGGAGTCACCTCGCATTTTGCACGCCAGACAGCAGATCGCTCTGCAAAGAAGGCAGACCCCACATGGAGGATGGCAAACGTTCCCACGGCCCTTCAGTGAGTTTGCAGAAGCGCCTTCCCATCGGCAGTGACTGGGATGCTCTGTGCCCAGCCCCCAGCTGCGCTGAAATGCTCCAGGGGTGGGGGCAGGGAGGAGGTGGAGCCGCCCTGGGGGCTGGGACCTCGGCCAGACCCTTGAACTACAACTCAGCTGGGCTCTGCTGCAGGCCTGTGAGTAGGGTATTCTCTCCTGCATTACACAGATGAAGAAACTGAGGCTCATGGAGGCTCCTTGGTGGGAGTAAGTGCTCGTGGCCAGGAAATGATGGAAGCTGGGCTCGAATGATGCTCAGAGGAAGGCCTGTTGGCTCTAAATCTTTCCTGGGGTGCTGGCTGAGAAGGCGAACAGCGGCCAGGTGAAAACACAACGTCACTGCTACCCACCCCCCCACTGCCTCCCACCAGCGACCACAAAGTGAGCGAGCCAACCATTGAGTGCAATGCAATCGTCTTAAGGACAGATGCGTGGATTAGAGCTTGCGAGCGAGCGGGTCCGCTTAGGGACAGCAGAAACTTCCATCTGTTTCACACACCGTTGTACCCCGGTACCAGCCCAGCTACAGCCCATGTCGGCGAACTTTCTTGCAAATAACTGACCTGTGGCAGCAACCGCAGCTGGGTTGCCTGGGTCCAGCTCAGCATCACAGAGACCCCTGTTCCCTCATCTGAAAAGTGGAGATCAGAGTTCTCCCTTCACCTGTTGTGGCGATTAAAGAGCGGACGCCGGGAAAGCGCTCAGTGCAGTGGCTGGCACGTCGGGAAAAGTGCTTGGGGGCATCCTTGTGAGGGACACTTGAACACTGACTATATTTAGCCACTGACATTTGGGATTGTTCTGTGACAGGAGCTAATATAACCTAATTAATACAGTCCTCGGTATGTGTTAGCAATTTAATTTCCCGTAGAGTCCTAAGCCTTCAGATCCTGTAAAGTAGGTTTCCTTGTGTCCTATAGATATTATTTAGGAATTTTAAGGCATTCTTATATATATGCACCTGCTTATATAGGATACAGGTGTACTCATAAAGATAGGCGTTTGAGACATTTCTAGCTATTACATGTTACAGAGAAGTTGGTTGACTCCCCATTTGCTGTCTCTGCACCAAATTCACCTCCTTTCCTGACTTCTGCAAGAGAAAACCAGTCCCCAGAGCTCATGGGGACTTTGGGTAATGGCAGTGAAGCTTCATGGGTCTCCGGAGCCCAGGGGTTCGCTTGAAATGCTCCCCTGGGGCTTGCCTCCTGTCCAAGAGTTCTGGGGAATTCCTCTTCTCGCTTGCCCAGCCTGCTTCCCTTACCCGCCCTCAGGAATTCACAGGAGGTCTGGGCTCCCTCTAGGGCTTCTTCCCTAGGTCCCACCACACACCCTTCTCTCCTGAGAAGTCTTTGTATCCGCTGCTAAGAGGATAAAATATCCTCCCTATTGTTCAAATTACAAATCGATGTATTTGCGAAGCACTTTCATTTTCTCTCAATTCAATATGACAAATATTTCGTCAGTGCCCACTCGGTGCTGGGCATCTTTCTAAGGGATCTGTGCAGGTGGTGAGGTGGAGAGCGCGATGCTCACGTGCCCAGAGGCTCCTTACTAATCAGGGACAGGGGGGCTCGTGAATGGTGCCTCCACTCCTCTCCACTTCTCTCTCCCACACCCATACCCACTCCCCTGCATCCTGTCTGCTTATTTGTGTGAACTGTGCCCCGTCATTCTTAGACCCTGGGCTCCCAGTGGGGGGCCCGGCGCAGAGGAAGGACCCAAGAGATGCTATGGTTAGGCTGTGCGAAGTCACCAGCAGCCTTAGTATCCACCTGCCTCTCTGATGCGTCCTGATAGATGTGTTATAGGCACTGTGTATTCAGCACGTCTAGATCTGAACTCGGGATCTTTCTCCCTCAAGCCTGGCCTTCTGGAGGCACCAACCAGCTCAGGGAATGCCTCTCCTTCGCTGCCTGTGCCAGCATGAGCCCAGTTGTCACCGCCAACTTCTCTTCCTCCTCGCTACAGGCTCCATCCCTCAGGACGTCTTGTCTGCATTAGCGCTCAGTAGCTCTCAAAACGGTCAGTTCAGTTTCTCTCCATTGGCAGCAACACCCACGGCCAGGCCACCGTCCTGGCTTCCCTATATGACGGCCATGGCCTCCCCACTGGTCATTTTACACCCGCTCCTATCCGTCCTTACAGAGTAATCATAGTGATCCTTTGAAAATGCAAATCCGATCAAGCCATTTCTAGCTTGAAACACTCAGCAGTTTCCTAGGGCTCTAGGGAAAGCTCTGTGTCTTTAAGAGGCCTGACCCTGACCTCTCTCTGGCCTTATTTCCCACCTACCTCCCTGTCTGTGCACATGCCATCTCAGTGGGCCTGCATGGATGCTCCCACCTGCCACAGGACCTTTGCCCATGCTGGTCTGGCTGCCTGAGCTTCCACCACATCCTTCGTCATCTCCTTTCCTCAACCTTCCTCTGCCCCCCTTGCACTGTGCTAGTGGGGTGTCTGCTGTTCTGCTGTCCTTTCTGTGTTGGGGGGAAGTGTTAAGGTGGGTGATGCTGGTGGGAATGTTCTAGTAGAGAGGGAAGATGTGATGGCCTGAGAGAGGAGGGAGTGATGAAGGAGCAATGAGAGAGGGGATGAGGTCCAGGACACCAGGGCGAGGGTGGCATCATATGGGGTAGATAGTGGGGTGTCTGCTGTAGCAGAAGGGAAGGCGCCACCTGTAGGAGCATCTGCTGGGATGAGTAGATGTGGTGAGAACCCTGACACTTCTCTTCTGGTTGTTTTCATTTTCCATTTCCCATCCACGAGATGGGAAGCTGGATCATTACTGGAGCACAAGGAAGGGAAGTCAGGGTTGGAGATTTGAGGATGGAGGAAAGGAGTGCGTTTTTTTCTCCATGAGATGGGGAGAAAGAATGGACCATGCCCAAGACATGAAGCATGTGTGTCTGGCCTTGAAGTTCCCTTTCAGATTCTGTGGTTTTCTCAGGCTACATTTAGGGTGTGGCTGAGTCTGCTGGAGGGTTGCCTTTAACCAGGGTGGGGGTCTGTGGGATGAGCACAAGCGCAGCGCAGGGGTTGGGGAGGTAGTGGTTATGAAGATGGGCCAGACTCTAAGCTGGGGAAGGGGACAGTGGAGAGTGCTGGGGTCAATGCATTAGAAGCCTGGGTGGGAGGTCAAGGAACTATGGGAGTGGGGGCTCATGGGAGTGAGTTGGAAGGCTGGGGTGTGGGAGTCGGAAAGTGGGTGCTGAGGATTGAGACTGTAGGGGGGTGTGGTGATTGGTCATGTCAGGGTCAAGGATAAGTCCATGAACTAAGTGGGTTGTCTCAGGAGGTAGGGATGACAGTCAAAGTATTTAGCAACTGGGAAGTTCATCCCAGTTAACACAGAAGAGAAAACTTAACATTCACTTTTACTTTCTATATGCAGTCAAGTACGTATTAGGAACCTGCTTACCATGTTAAAGTTGATATGCAAAGGACTCATCACATTATTCTGATAAACCCCAAATCATTAGTTGGTTTTTAGAAACTATTGGTGTGAGGCGCCTTCAAGCTGAATGATGGCCCTGTCTGGATCATGAGTTGACACACGGAACCATACCAGAAGTTTCCAGCACTTCTCTGTTAGAGTAAGACTTGCTTCATCTCAGTGAGTACAGAATTCTCTTCTACCCTGTCCCATGCCATACGCTTCTCCCAGAAGGTAGCCCTCCATCCTGGGCAACCCCGGAGGTGGGGAGGGATGCTCCTGGGGGTGGCAGAGTGGGGGCGGGGAAGAGAAGAGTGGGGACCTCAAAGGTAGTTCTCTCATGGGTGGTGGTGTGCGCCCAGACTGGCCCGGCTGCTCTGGGTGCAGGAAGGTTCTGTGTTCCTGGGGCCCTGACCCACTTCCACAGAGGCAGGTGTGGCTGGGCCGGGCCCACAGCTTGGAGAGCTGCAGGGCCTGGGGCACAGAGGAGATGGGGTCGCAGTGCTACCCCTCTCTGCTCTGTCTGCCCCAACCAGGAGCCACCCCTCGTGGCTGCACTTTGTGGGGCTCATTGGCATGCAGGATTTAGCAGGTAACAGCCAGCCACACAGGACTGGTATGTGCTGGCTGAGCAAGGTGGGCGAGGCCAGGGAGCGGGAGGGCCGTCCGCCCGCTTGTGAAATCCAGGAGGGCTGCAAGCTGGCCTTGGACAATGAGGCGGGCCAATGTGTCACTCCTCAAAGAGTGGGGGGGATGCCCACGTTGGGAATGGTCAGGAGAGAGTCAGGGAAGAGAAGGCTGGGTGAGTTTCAGAGGGGCAGGGCTTTAGGTTATGAAGTGGTTATGAGGCAGTGAGCAGCAGGGAGGGGCCTACCACCTCAGGGGTGTGTGTGATGAAACACTCCCTATGAAGGATCGTGAGGGAGTGGTGTCCTCAAGGGACAGCCGGCTTTCTGTCAGAGTGAGCAGAAAAGAGGAGAGGGCGCCTGGGTGACTCAGGTGATTGGGCGACTATGTTCGGCTTAGGTCATGATGCCGGGGACCCAGGATCAAGTCCTGCATCAGGC